CCTCCCTCCCTCCTTCTCGGTCTCTTCCCCCTCCCTCCCTCTCGGTCTCTCCCCCTCTACCCATACAAGATATAATTAAGGTTGACTTCAGCAAGCCACCTCAATAGCACGGGACCTCCATGCAGACAGAATATGCGCCATGAATGAATAAGGATTCTAAATTACCTGCTTGTTTGCAAACACCAGAAGTACAGCGTCTCGCAGCTCATCTTCTGCCAACATCCTTGTTAACTCCTCTCTGGCTTCGTTAACTCTCTCTCTATCATTACTATCCACCACAAAGATGAGACCTGCATAGAAGAAGTCCAGGTTAACATTGCCTTCTTACTAACCAAGTTAATGGCACCATCTTTGTAGACCAACACAACTAGGAATGATTCCCGTGTCACACTAAATGTTGTTGCTAGTGCCAACACAATCGCTGCAGGCATTGCTGTTTTCTATGGCATTGCTTCCTCACTGCCTGAAATGCTGCAGAGTCCCCCTTGCCAGTGAGGGAACAATGCTATGAAACAGGAGTAGCCAAACTTTAGCCCTCCAGGTGCTGTGGAACTACATGTCCATAAGGCACTGCAAGACTGACAGTCACAGGCATGACTTCAGAGGCAGATGCATGATGGGATTTCTAGTTCCACAGCTGAAGGGCCCCGCTATAGAAAAAAAAAATTAATGCATATTTCTTTTTGCTCTTTGGCGATCCTGTCATTGGTAATTTGCTGCCAACTAGGGATGAACCGATACCAGTATCGGTGCCGATACCGAGTATTTGGGCGAGTAGTCGCCCAAATGCTCCCGTTACCGGAACTTCCGGTATCAGGAAGCTGGGCAGTGTGTAACGACTCGCCGCCCTTCCTTCGGATTGGTCGGGAAGCTGGCCAATTAGGAAGCCGGTCGGCTCGTCATTACCCACCCCCCGGCTTCCTTGCCACAAGGTGACAAGGAAGCATGGAGCTGGCTTTTAGGCCAATCAGGAAGCTGGGCGGCGTGCAACAACTCACCGCCCGGCTTCCTAATTGGTCGGGAAGCCGACCAATCAGGAAGCCTGGAGGCGACCACCCAGATATGAGGCCTTTTAGTGTACCCCTGGCTTCCTGATTGGCCAGAAAGCTGGCTCCATGCATTCTCATCACCTGGTGACACAGGAGCATGGAGACAGTTCTCCGACTGATCAGGAAGCAGGCGAGGAGTCATTTCATGCCCCGTGGTTTGCTTAATGGGACTTCTGGTATCGTAGAGTACCGGGGGAAAAAATATTGGTACTCGAACTCCATACCGAAAAACCGGCATCGGTGCATCCCTACTGCAAACCATAGGATGGCTAATGTAAAATAAACCTTAGAGTAAACAGCATATATTTACATTCGTTATATAGCTGGAAGCAGGTGAAGCTTAGGCTCAATAGAGCAGGCTATGGCTGCCGAATACAACTCTTGTATGTATTCCTATTACAATGCTGATGTTATAACAGGAAAGTCATGTGACTCTACAGCTCCTTTATGGATTGTGGAAGGGAACACTTGAAGGATATCTGTGCAAACATGAAGAAATCAATGCAATGTGAGAGTTAACCCCGTGCTACCTAAAACACTCACCCTGAGTGTTCTGGAAATAGTGACGCCACAGAGGCCGGATTTTGTCCTGACCGCCAACATCCCAGACAGTGAAGCTGATGTTCTTGTATTCTACAGTCTCCACATTAAAACCTGAAATGCACAAAAAGGTAGATCAGAAAAATGATTTCCTGTCAGATACCAGTAAATGATAGACGTTATAGATGGTCAGGGCTTACCTATGGTAGGAATGGTGGTCACTATCTCGCCCAACTTCAACTTATACAGGATGGTGGTCTTTCCAGCTGCATCCAAGCCCACCATAAGTATCCTCATCTCCTTCTTGCCAAAGAGGCCCTTAAACAGAGTTGCAAACATGTTCCCCATTGTAGTGTCCTTTTATCTGATAATAGAAAAGAAAAAAAGGAACAAACATTAGAATGGAAACCGATACAAAATGTAATCATACAATCACTATGCAAGGTCAAATCAACAGTCAGACTGCTGTATGGCCGGCTTAACCCTTTTTCCACACGTTACAATGCACATTTTAGGCCTGAACATTACTTAAAACCCTCCAGAATTATCTATTTCCTGAAAGCAGAGCCCCCGTAGAATACAATGGTGGCAGCTGCAAATTTTTATGTTGCATCAAACACAAAATTTCAGTAACAAATAACACTTCAGTTAATGTCTGTGTACAAAAACACAATAAAACACCTTTTTAAAGAAAAAGAAAATATAAAAAGATGAGGTTGTGCCGAGTACATAGATACCGAGAGCATGTGCGGCACAATTAACGTTTTTGTATGTAGGCACGCCTGACACTCGTTGACGTTAGTACGTGGGCAGGGGACTTCAAAAATGTCTTTGGCCCTTTTTTATTTTACACAAAAAAAAAAATCAGACATTTACCCATATCTTTAAAAGAACAACAAACACACCTTTAGAAATGTTTAGTAATGACAATCTACAAACAGATACTTCTAGATAATTGCCGGCTTTGTATACGTTATTTCTCTTTTCTTTAGATGATAGGTACGCTTTAGGCTGGGGGCATTGTTTACTGGTAGCTGGAAGCAACCTGGTCAGAATCATTTCGAGTGTAAAGCCAACAGCAGGCTTCATACAGGTAAACAGACTCCCGGGGACCCGCTTCCAGCAATGTATGGCATCTGTCATTATGGGTGATCATCGATGTGTGCATGTACCCCTGTATAGCCCAATGATTGCAAGCAATGAACAAAAATCAGGAACACCATCTGCCATTATTAAAATGAACCTTTTATTAACCCTACAAGTCGGCAATCATTCCTGACATATGACAACGTACAGCAACACAAAAAGCTTCACCTTTTATCATTTTAAAGCTCCAGTCCAGTGGCTTTCCCTAAGCTGATGTCATCAATCTGCTGCAGGCAGGCGGAAACATTTCCTCACTCTCCTCACCCCCTGGTAATCAGAGTCTACATTTTAATTGTGCAGCAAGTCACAAAGTGAGATCTGCGTCAGACATTTGGGAACTCAGCCAAGAACTGCACAGGCACCAGGATTTACATGAATGCCATCCCTGAGCCATCATGTCAGTCCAGGTAATAGAAGCTGACCCGCGTTGATGCCCAAACAATGACAGGAAAGGCAGATTGGGGGCATTGTTGGGGGGGAATTAGTGATCAGAGTGGTACTCCTTACCTGAAAAAAAATGTCATATTGCCAAGTAGGCATGCTTTTAACATTAAAAAAAAAAAAAGAAAATCTGATACTTGGCCTACTTAAGTCAAATATGGACACCCTTCACCAAGTTCACACAGTCACACACTGTCCATTATAACAAGTCACTCTGCAATGCATTATTTGCTTTGTTATAGAAATGTAAAAAAAGGGAATGTGAACTGCGACAAAGACAAAAAAAATCCCCTTTTATGACCCGGAGCACAATAGCCATCCATACGTCCTATAAAGAGACTTTCTTTGGTCAGCCAAAACATCCTTCACTGTCCATTACAACAGAGGAAGATTCAGTGTCAGAAGGGGGAAAGGAGCCGTTGTCATGGCAACTTCAGACATCTGACAGTCGGCGCACCAATGTACTGTGCGAGCAGGAACAAGGGGGGCGGATGTGACATAAAGCTTGTATATAGAGCAGACGCTTCATAGCTACAATGCTTTATATCTACACAAAGGGTCAGGGACACAGGAGGAGGAGGGGAGAATGCCGCATCTCTGTACCGACAGAGCCAGTAACACAACCAGATATACAATAATATACTCATACACATAGGGGCGGTTTCACAAGGCAATTTGATAGTTGCATAACTCGTCCCAAGAACAAGCCATTGTTTGTATCATGGCTGAGGAGTACAGAGGCAAGGTGCTGTGATGTTTTCAGGCAGCTATGTACAGCACCCTGCCCGGCCCTCCCACGCCCGCATCTTAACCATGCCCCCCTGCACCCGCATCTTAACCCTGCCCCCCCAATCGTGTGCCCGCATCTTAACCCTGCCCCCCCAATCGTGTGCCCGCATCTTAACCCTGCCCCCCCAATCGTGTGCCCGCATCTTAACCCTGCCCCCCCAATCGTGTGCCCGCATCTTAACCCTGCCCCCCCAATCGTGTGCCCGCATCTTAACCCTGCCCCCCCAATCGTGTGCCCGCATCTTAACCCTGCCCCCCCAATCGTGTGCCCGCATCTTAACCCTGCCCCCCCAATCGTGTGCCCGCATCTTAACCCTGCCCCCCCAATCGTGTGCCCGCATCTTAACCCTGCCCCCCCAATCGTGTGCCCGCATCTTAACCCTGCCCCCCCAATCGTGTGCCCGCATCTTAACCCTGCCCCCCCAATCGTGTGCCCGCATCTTAACCCTGCCCCCCCAATCGTGTGCCCGCATCTTAACCCTGCCCCCCCAATCGTGTGCCCGCATCTTAACCCTGCCCCCCCAATCGTGTGCCCGCATCTTAACCCTGCCCCCGCAATCGTGCTCTTGCATTCCCATCCTGACCCCCCAGCTCTGCTCCTCTGTCAACAAGGCATTTTGATATATGATCTTAGCCAGTTCCACCACCCAGGATCTGCCTGCATTACATAGACAAGCACAGAGACCCAACAATGAAAGTATTGCAATGAAAAAGATTGTATTGAAATATTTCATTAACATTTTGCCGAGGGAGAAAAGGAGGAAACTGCAAAAATCTAAGCAGATTAAACTCGAGCTTAAACTGTCTGATCCATTATTGATGAGTCACACACAGCGCAAAGAATGCAATGTAGGCGGATGTCTACCACAAACATCTCCTATCACCACAACGCAGTATGTCAAACCTTATACTCATGACCAAGTCACAACCTACAGATTGTTATACCGAATACATTTTATACATTCATCTGCAATCAAGTTTTATTTTTGTGGAATTTGTCTATTTGCGAGAAGATATTTTCCCCAACGTTCAAAATATACAATATGTATGTGTTACACTCGCTTACTAGGATAGTTCACACCATCCTCAGTGCCTTCCGGCCCGATTGTGGCCAGAACGCATGGGATTGCATTTCAGCCGGCTCACTTTGTTTGGGAGGGGACTGAATGGCACCGTAGCCACACCCGCCGGCTGCAATGCAATCGGGCGCACAGGAACATGTGACCCATCAGTTCCTGCGTTATGGTGCAGTCAGAAAAAGTACACACTATTATTTTCTTACTGCATTGGAACGCACTGAGGATGGTGTGAACTATCCAAAACCAGGAAAACTTTATTAACCCTTGTACTGCAAAGGATAGGCGTTCATTTGTGTCTAGGGACAAAGATAAAGTTATACTCACCTGAGGCTCAGAGTGGACCAGCTGTCACAGTGCTCCCTGCAGTCTTCTTCAGCATCCCATGTCTATACACTGTGCATCGTCATTGATGATTTAAAAAGAGACCTTATACCACTGCAGAGGAGGGGGAGAGACGCTGGAAGGAAATGTCTAAGACCTTTATATTTGCGATGCACTCATTGCTTGTACATGATCTGATCTATCTGTATCCTACTTCTCTTTGTCTCCCCCTTTTTTCTTATCATATATTCTCCCATCTCTCATCCACCTCTACATGCTTTAGCAAGGTATAGTACTTTTACTGTATTTTAGAAACTTTACATTGCTACTGATGTTATCGGGCGGCTATAGATACTACCACCAAATACTTTGTTCATTGTATTGATAGGACATTAATATATGTCTTCCTGTGATCCTGAAGAGAACTATGGCCAACAAAAGTTTAGGCCATAGCTTTCTTTTTGCCCAACCCCCCCCCCCCCCCCCCCCCCCCCGTATTTCAGAAGTGCAAGTTAAATTCTAGGCTAGCTTCTACCATCTTTCAGGGTTCCAATTAGTGGGATCTCGAGAGATGCAAGAACTAGCTAGGGTGCCTCTTGTAAGTGCTGCAAAAGATTCACACTGAGCGGATTGCCGCGCAATTTCCGCCGCGATATTGCGCATCTTTGTAGCGCGATATCGCGAGAAGTCGCCGGCCAATGATTTTCTTCATGTACAGCTTCGTGTCGCCCGTCGCTTCTACAGGACCCTTTTTTCGGCTGATTTTGCGCAATTTTACCATTTTTTAATGCAGCCCGACGGTGGAACGTCACCCTGAAAGTCGCACTATCCCGGCTGCGCGGATCCGCTCCAAAAAGGTATGTCGCTTAGTGTGAATGGGGCCTAAGGGTTAGGGATTGCAGAAAGCAAACGTGCACCTGGGGAGTGAGGATCGGCTTTAACATTGAAAATCAAAGACAGTACAAAACTGTTTAGTCAGGCATTTCATACACGAGGCACAAAACTTCCTAATTTGTCCGGCAAGGATGCAAACTCTACATTACAAATAGAAACGTAATAGCAGAATTTCCTGAGATGCATTTCCTGGAATGTCCTGCACATGACTAACTGCCAGAGAGCACATGACACGGACATAATTGCACACACTCCATTCATACAAACTGACGAACAGGAGCAAAGTGACTTCCAGCAATCTTCCAGCCAGAGTCACCTTCATTCCTCTTTATGTTTGTGCCATATCAGCTCTTCATCAATTTGGAGAACGGCAGCCAAGCAGGCATACAAGTCTCTAGCTGAAAAGATTCCCCCAATGCCATGCATGAGCCAAAAAAACTGCAGGCACTAGGACTATAATCACCCCAGGGTGCAGCTCTCAGCCCTCCACAACAAAACTCAGCTCAAGTCAATCAAAACTATTTGTGCTTTGACTTTTGTTCAGTAAATGCAAGTTACCAAGAACTGCTCCAGTAATAACGTTATGGATGTTTTCAAATATAACAAACTTTCAAGCAAGAATATGAATAGGTAATCTGATATATAGATTCACCGTCTTCTGGAAGGTTTTGGTCCTGTTCTAAATCAAATACCT